ACATCAAACCAAATAATATGCCTGGCCTGCTTTTGTCCAAGGATTTTTTTTTTTAAATTAAACCTAGATTTTAGGTCAAACTTTACCTGAAAATTGATGCTCAAAAGTGTTCTGGTAACAAGAATGCTGAATACATTTGGCCCTAGGGATGGGACACCTGGAACAGCAATATCATCACCACTCTAGAAAAGTGTTTCAATCCAGCTGTAAATAACGCAAAATTCTAGAGTGAGCAGAGGTACTAAATATATTTTTCTCTACTGTCTTTTCTAAAAGGATAAGGCTTGGAGCCACTAATCCATTCCAGTTACTGCTTTGCTATCAGTTTGAACTGTAACCATGCGTTTCACAAATGGTTTGGGGAACCGTGGCCACATATTCACAAGGAGCTAAGGTGTTTATTACTGCTTACAAAGTGGTTTTAAAAACAGCAGGATATTAATATGTGCACAACTCAAAATGATATAAAGAGACTGCACAGATTCAATGCCACATTACAGAGGAAGAAAGTCTTTGCTTGGAATACACAACGCCTGATGCATCTTCTGCAACTGTAATATCTTCATATAAGATCTTTAGGAACAAAGAGGGGAAAAAAGTGCAGTTACAACAACGGTGAAGAGTACGGCCTCTTGACACTTCGTTAAAGATAGACATGAGCCATCAAGTCTAGATCCAGACCTGTTTCCCATAATTGAGAATTTAGGAGGCTACAAGCTACACTTTTTGGAGCATAAGCTATAACAATTTTAAATGTATACTTATACACTATCAGTTTTTAAAATGTTATGCAACTCCTATCAGGTTGATCACTAGTAAGTTAAGGAGAAAACAAACAACCCTTACATGGCATCATGAATAATTGTAAATGTTATTGTTACAAATTATCCAGCCTCTTTGTAAGCCAGACCCATATCAGTAGTTACCACTAGTCAAACAAAATACTTAGAACCACTGCTTGGGCACATACAAACATTTCGCCACAGGTCACTAGTTGCAGTTCAGGTCCTACTACAATCTCCTGGACTTCCTGATGTGCCATGCTGCCAGCGGTACAGACAAAACCTGGCTTCCAATTTTACCTTTGGAAAATTAGAAAAGTATAAAACAATTTTTTCCCCTTCCAGGAAGCATTTTCATAAATATTATATATGCATAACATTGGCATGTTGAGGATTCAGGCAGGCAGCAAAGAAAAGCCCCATTCACTGAAGCCAGGCTACCTAAAGTACAGTGAAACCACCATTCTTGATTTTCCTTTCTATAAGCAAAGGAAAGATTTTACCAATCACTGTTAGCTGCCATCAGCTCTAGCTCTAGGTCAGTGGGAGACAACCTTTTTGGCAGGCATGCCATAAATTAGCTCTACACCCTCCCCGAGTGCCACTCTAATCCCCTTTCCCTGCTCAAATCAGCTGCTCTGCTTTCTGCTCCCTGTCCAGTCTGTTGCTCTATCTGCCACTGTGTCACCACGGTCCTTCCAATCTAGTTTTCCAATTTCTGACAGCTGCCAGTACCAGAGGAAAATGCAAAAACCCCGTAGTAGGCAACACTGGCAGCAAGTTAGTCCATAAGTTTTTTTCCTAAACCACTGCAGTTAGTTATGTACCGAAACATAGTGCTTAATAATCCCTATGAAAAAAGATACCCCGTCTAATACAACTGTAGAGGCTCCATAGAGCTGTCTTTTTGACCCCTAATAAACCACTGGCTTCAATTACATATTGTGGCAGCAAGTTCCATAAGTTAATTAAGCTTTGAATAAAATACTTTCAATGCAGTTGAAAGGCAATGAATTAAGAATAAACAGAAAAGAAGCCTCTCGTTTTGTATTATGCTTATATGGTTACTCCAATTATGCTGTAAAATAGGATTATTTGGGCAAGGGTTGTAGGATCAGGTCCACTGTCACACTGAAGTGCAAAATAACTATCTAAACGTCTATGATATCTGTAACTACTATGCAAAAGACTGTTCCTGAGCTAAAATTGCATACCTGCTTTACAGTTAGTTGGATACAAAAAGTAGCTGTGTCACGTGATACATTTCTGTTATAGGTCCTCTCTCTCAATATTTTAAACCTGTCCGCTCTCCAAGGCAGGGCCTGTCATTTTCTACAATGGACTGCTACCTAGCACAAATAGGTCTTTGACCTGCTTGGCCTCTAGACAACAAGCAATGCACATGTTAAATAATAATTAACGGTGTGCACTCCCACATGGTGTTCAGGACGCTTTTACCTCTGTCAGTCTAAACATTTCAGGGCTGGTATTCAGGGTGCACTCAGTGCAAGAGGGCTCTCTGAAGACACAGCTGTCACGCTGGGATTTTGGGGTTGCTTTTGAGGGTGTTGACTATGAATGCTAAGCACACAGTGAAATGCATACTTTTCCTTGTAGATTTTAAAATTTGACTTTATCATATCTCCAAGACATTTCAAAATTAAATACATTTGATTAGATTCAATACAAGGTTTTCCCTCTTCTCCAGTAAGCAAAAGGGGGGAAAAAAGTCCAACCAGATATCTGCTTGAGTTTCAGGAGCGGACTCAGATACTGTACCAAACAGGATGAAGGAAGAGAGTTTACACAGCTAAGAACACTAACTTCAATAATATTTAAATCTAGAAATTATTACCCAAGTGCTCTTCTTTATTTATTTTGGATGAAAAATACTGTTTCATTTCTGTTTCTAGTCAATTCCTCTCGCAAGTTCTCACATAGAAATACAGCATTTTGATGTTGTGGTGGCACATCCCTCTCAAAGACTTCAACATAACTTTGAAAAATAGGATCCATATCATTCTTTACAGCTTTTACAAAGGCTTGTTTTAAAGAAAGCCTGAAATTTCAGGTTAAATATGTGGTGAAAGCAAATGCAAAAAACATATCAGTAGCAAGAAGTGAATCTGCAAAATGACAGTCTTCTGAAGTAGGATTTTGATTGTGAAAATTGTCCACAAATAGAACTACTTTTAAGTCTTTAAAAATTAAATCAGATGTGTTAATAATTTCATCTGCTAATTCAATTTTCATGCTTCCTTTCTAGGATCCCAAATGCATTAAGATAATTGAGAAACACGTTAAGCAATTGAATATGTCACAAACACCAGACATGAAAAATTTGGTTGGATTTGTTCCCCAACAGAAACATTTTCTGCTCTATATCATAATAAATTTGTTATTGCTGTTTTCTTTGTGAGGCACGCAAGGTAGCAATCTCAGATGCATCTTGCACATCCATAGCAATACTATCCATAAAGCTCAATTCATGCCTTTGTTCAGTTCCACACTTTACTTGAGGCAATACTTTGATAAGCTTATCATCACGCACTGAACTGATATCCTGTGATGACACAACGGACAACACTGCAAGGGGAATCAAGGATTTACGTTAGTGATATATCATCTCCCTGAAACACACTTTAGGAATTTTATTCATTTGACAAATAGCCAGAAGGGAAAAGCCCCCCCCAAATGACAGGACTTGCTAAAACAGTATCAGGAATTAAATCTCTTTTGGATAGGGCTAGATATACTTTTGCAAAATAAAATAGATTGAAGTGATTTAATACGAGAGAAAGGAATTCATCTGAATTCAGATCAATTGGTTCCCAGCATATTTAAGTTTTAGATCATTAATGAATGTATGTGTTTTTAAAATTTATTCCTAATGCTAGTTTATACGCTATTTAATCTATATATACAGTACAAATATAAAGTCCTTTTAGGATTAGAAAGCAATAATCTTAATTCTTGTAATAGCTAAACAACAACAAAAAGGTGATGGAACAGAAAAGTATTCACACATGCAAATACATTTGCATAGTAGCATCCAATTTCTGTACATTTCAAAAGATTATATACATGTTTTAAATCAACACTAGAGGTCTTTGTTCAATATGCAGCATAACTATTTTTATGGCTGATTGGAATACTGTAATAGTCAGTAGTCTATATAGTTCAATCGAGGGTGGATTCAAAATTCTGCCTGTCATCTTTGAAAAGGCCAGTATTTTTGCATCACTGTATAGTGTGAAAATGAGAAGAATGGCAGGCTCTATATTTGCCTGTGTATATCCTGGTCACAGTCCCTTCCGGTTATCATCCTAGAGACTGTTAAACATGATTAAGAGTTTGATCTTATAGGCTATAAAATATCTGCTGTATGTTTTTAGAAAGCTCCTTTTCTCAAATCTCCCACTCAACAGGACAAGATACAGATTTACATATGGCTGGAAAACCAGAACAGGTTTAAATATGTTCAGGAAACATCAGGAGGCTTTTGCCATATATGACCAGATTTGCATCCTTCGACCATTTCCAAGAACTACCTTATTGCACCCAGCAGGCCACATTTCATTTCAATGAACCCCAACCAAAGTAACTAAATAAATCCCTGCCCCCCCCACCCCCGCATCCAGAGACATTACATGAATAAGTCCTCTTCTAATGCATTTGCTCCCCCTCAAACTATTATGATACACAGCCTTAGAACCAGACTGTAGAAGAACAAAATCCCATCCCAGCAGCTTAAAGAACACCATGGAATTGCATCCTTGAATAATGCCGAATTCAGGAAGTGAGTTTCCATGTAAATGACTTAAAGGTTAGTCAAAGGATTTTGATGCAGACTACCCTATATTTACTCTGAACACATACATTTTATGCTTAAGATACTGCTATGCTACCATGAATCACTGGATACTTCTGTTTTATCATCCTGAGCAGAGCAGGCTAAATAGAAATTTGGCAATCCTCAGCAGCAAACACAGGACCAGGGATGTGAAGGCAATAGTCTAACAAGCTGTATATTATACCCTAATTTGCAACACGCAAGTTTTGAAAAGCTTCAGACAGGGTTTTTAGAGGGGGAACGCCCCCCCCAACCGCATGCAATTTGTACCCAAGCCAAGCTTCAGCACGCTTTCCCCTCATTCCCACATCCCTGGCATTTAAAACACTCAGAAACCTGCAAGAGCTGCTCAGAAAATCACCTACCTTCCATCATGATGGCAGAATTGCATTCCTCAATTTCCAAGGAGCCTGAAAAAATGCAGGAGAATACGATTCCAGTTACCAGATGCTCAATGTAAGCCCTTAAAATAAATGTCTCAGATCCCTGATTTGTACAGCTGCCAGACGGGGGAGGGAGGAGGGGAAAAAAAAAGTGCTAAGGCAGAAGACAGGCCATGGATGCTGCTGTGTCTGTATCACCTAGAGGATCACAGAAGGATGCTGAGAGAGAAAGGGAGAGAGAGCGAGTGCCGGCTTAGCTCACATGCCTGCCAGTATCTCAGCCAATCCCTCCAGCTCTGTACCTTGTCACATGGTAGCCTGCTTGCATCTCCTGACACAATACCCCTCAAGAACACAAGAACCTATTTCCCATTTTTCCCCCCACTTTCACCAAATGCATTACCCCTTTTCGTACCTTGTGACGCACTTCCCCTCTTTATAATCCTATTGCAGCAGCTGGGTGAACAAGATTAATTCTCAGGCACTGTCAGATTAGGAGGAGGCTCTGCCATGAAACGTGCACGTAAACAGGACTGCAGAGAAAAAAAAAATTAAATATTAAGCCTGAATAAATAGCCAGAGATTACATTATCTGCATGCAGCTCTCTAGTCACTACAATTCGATTCGAATAATGTCAGTACGTTCAGAGTGTCAGGTTCTGTAGATCGCCGAAATCAGAGAGGCTGTAAGCTTGGCTTCACATTTGTGTCTGCTGATCCCTTTGCTCTCCCTCAGCCATTCAAGAGAAAATCAATTGGACTGACGTCACATCATAAACAATTATCCCCAAAAGGATGATGCAGAAGAAATTTTACCCGGACCGCCTTCACGAGAGCCTTGGAATTAATTTCGCATGAAGAGCATCAGAGCCAAAGGGCAGGGAATTGCCATTAAAAAGAGGAAACAAAAGACACACATGAGGGAGTGGGGCTCTCAGATCGGACTGGAAATGCATGAGAATTTCAGTGGTAGGGTGAGGGAAGGCAGGAGGGAAAAAAAACAAAGCTATGGGCAGCAGATTGCAGCTATTCAGCATGCACTACCCTAAAAACAAAACACAACCTCAATTAGCTTCTGCTCCAGCAGCTACCAGTGACATTTTTGAGGCGCTTTCACACAGAGAATACTACAATTAACCAGGTTTTCTTCCCTCCAGCCATGCTGTTGTCTTCTTGCTACTGGATTGAACATGAGACTGATACTGTAAACCGGGAAAGCTCTCTCAGTTACAGACACAAACTGCTACCTCTAATGAGTTCTCTGCCATTTATATCCACTACCTAGAGGCTTCCCATCATGCTTATCAACATGGGTTTTGAACAAATCTTTATCTAGTTTTGTTTTTTTTTACATCAGTCCATTACGGTGTGTGTGTGTTTTTACTGTGTCTATAATTTTTTCGATGAGGAACAGGGTCGGATAGAACGTAAGCTTTAAATACACCCACAGGAGACAAAGTGACTTAATGTTTCTGTAAAAGTTATTGGGACTAGACAAGTTATGTCCTTGACACATCAGGATCTTTTTTGGCCATTTGCCCATTCCCAAAAGCTAAATTGGATTTCATTTTAGTGGAAAATGACCAAGTTTCCCATTCCCTTCCATTTCATGCCAATATGCAACATCCAAACCTGCAGGAGACAGAGAAACCTCCCACAAGCCTTCATTTAAAGGCAGTGGTGTTCACTCTTCTGGCCCTGTGAGCCAGGTAAGTGGCACAGGGCCAGTTCCTGTGCCCAGATCAGGTCCTGTGCCATCACTGCCTGACCCCTGCACTCAGACAGTGCTGTCTTGGCTGGCCCCTGGGCACCAGGGTCAGCCTTGTGCAGCCTTCCCAGTCTTACATGCCCAATCTAGTACATAGGGCCATGCTATCATGCACCTGGCTGAGGCTAGACATGCACCTGGCTAGGGTCGTCTGACCCCAGTGCTCTTTCCTGCCCATGGCAGGGGGTTGGACTCGATCTACTGAGATCCCTTCCAACCCAAACATCTATCCAGCCCACACGATTAACCGAGTCTGCTGTGAATCTCTTGGAGCATGCTAATTAGTGTGCTCCAGCAGCCTCCGCATCATGTGTATTTAGCATCCCCACATTTTGAAATGGTGGTGGGTGTGCCTTAAAGTTCAAATGAGCTTTAGTTAAAGTGCCCCTGCTGCCATTTTGAAGTGTGGGATGCTGAATACATGTGATGCTACAGATGCTTAATTAGAGTAGCTCTCAGAGCCACTCTCATTAAAGAGTCCTCCCCCCCTTCCACCTCAGAGCACATATATAGACATCCTAAATGACAGCCCAGCAGCAACTCCACCAGTGGATCAGTAGTATTACAAAAGTATAGTTAACCAACCATGAATGCAGTTTATCAGCTGGAAATAGAGAGAATTAATGCCGTGTGGCCAGCCATTCTGTAAACCACCTCAGTTGCACATACTCCTCAGACCAGTGTGAAAAACTGTGATGTTAAGGAAAAAATGGTGGCACGGTTATTTGTAAGACTTGTAAGCTTATAATCCAAAGAGGCAAGACGCACAGAGGCGGAGTGGGGGGAGAAGAAACTACACATTATTGTCCTGATTTACAGATAGGAAACTCAGAAAGTGGGATTAAGTATCATGCAGACAGTTTGTGACAAAGCCAAGAGCTAAACCTGGATCTCTTGAGACCTGGTCCAATGTCTTAACCAGAAGGTCATACTCTTTCTTTCATTTCTATTTCCCTCACTTGTCTAGGACAATTAACTATGTCCTTCTTTAAATTTAACCATGTCCTCCTTTCTGTTCCAACTAAAAAAAAAAATTAGAAACTTTTTAAAGCCCAGAAACCTTTAACTACTTCCTCTCTCTAAGCCTAAGAACTGACTGACATCTTTTCTTTTATACAAGAGAAAAAACAAAAAAAAACCTCTCTTATTTTATACAGCACTGCCCAGGAAACCTGTTACATTTGCATTTAAATTTAATAATATTTTTTAAAAGTGTAAAAAAAATGAACTTGTCAATAAAATAAAAATCATATTTCCCCCCCACACCCCGCCCTGAAATGATGGATGCCCAGTCCTAGGAAATACAGAGTGGGGTGGGTAAGGAAGTCACATATAACTAACTGCCTGCATTAAATATTAATGTCTCCCAAATCATATGGATTCACTAACTGTCATGTTTTATTACTAACTCAGCTGAAGCTAATCAAATGCTTCCAAATAGTTTAGGTATAGGTCTGGTACAAGTTTGCGGTTGTGACTATTTTTTTTCAAAAATTCAGTTTGTTGGAACCCACATTTTAAAGGAAGAAAATGCAAAATTGAACCATATTTGCTCAAGTCCCAGTTAAATAGGGTTTGCTAGATCTGATGAGGTATTATCTACAGTAAAACTTTGTTATCTGGCACCCATGGGGAATGGGGGGCAGGGGAGGAGTGAGAGACGGGCTCGGCAGGGGGAGGTGGAAGGGGGATGTAGCAGATAAAAGTGGAGAGAGGTACCTGCTACCTGGGGAGTCAGATGTTGGGCAGGTTGTAGTGTATCATAAATCTAATGTCTATATTGAGTCCATGAATTTCTGTATGTAGGAGGC